CTGGCACATGGGGTTGTTCTTTCCCAGGTGACACACGCCAGGGCTGTCTCTTTCATATCCTGCTCCCGACTTGGGTGTGACTTTTTAGCCGCTCAGCTGTGGTGAAATTCTGGCTCAGTTCTCTCGTTTAAATGTTGTATTTTCAGTTGGAAATGCAACGCTCTCGGGGCGGGAAGAACCTTTCTGAAATGAAATGAAGCTTCTCAGGTCTAACCTCTTCCACTTCCTGTTTGTTGCACAGATCGCTAAAGAGCCACCTCCTCTGAGGGAAATTCCACCTTCCTGCAACCCTCTCACTGCCGAGATTATTAAAATGGGACTGGAGAAAGAGCCTATTCAGAGAGCATCTGCGTCGGAACTGAAAACGAAGACCAGTGTCGCGCTTGAAGAAGGTAGGAGCGCCCTGTCTCTAGAGCTGCTTGCCCGCTTCAGCACCGAAGCCCACGCAGACAATAAAATGACCAGTGAAACGTGCTGGTGAAGCAGCCAGTCGCTCTTTGTGGCCCCATGGGAAGCAGCAGAGAATGTTTTATTGTTCGGTCCGTCGCTCGCGCAGGCTTCGGCGCTGCGGTGCGTTTTCGGGTTGACGGCTTTCGCCCGCAGCCGGGTGTTTCTCACCCAAGTACATGAAGATTTCCTGTGTGCAGCCACGTGCTCCTCCTTCCTTCTCCGCCCAAAGCAGACAGCGTTGTGCTTTCTGTGGGTTTGCGAAGGTGTGCGCGGCGTCTGGGCTCGTGTTCAGCTCAATTATCAGCTGCACCTCGTGAGCTGGAGCCTGGTAGGCAGCAAAAACTGAAAGGCACCCTGAGCTGTAACTCACACTTGTGGTCCAGGCTTGTCTCTGAGACTCCCCGTCATTTATTTCAGCTTAATCCTGCCGCAGGGTTCCGTAATACAGCGAGAATTTGTCGAGGTGATCTGGTTTTGTCTTTGGAAGGAGCTGGGTGTTGTGCAGCAAGATACAGTTCAGAAACTGATGGTGAAGGAAAACCTTTATCTCTTTCTTTATTTAGTAATGTTTGCATGGGGTTTTTTTTTGTTTGTTTTGTAGTGGGAGGTGTGACAAGCCCCTGGAAAGGCGAATACAGAGAGCCCAGACATTTATCTTTGAACAAAGAAAACAATCCTCAGACCTCCCTGTCCCCAACAGTGAGCCCCGTTTCTGCGACTGCTTCTGACCCAAAATTGGAGGGCAAAGGCTCTTGCGCGAGCCCAGTCCGACTGCCGGCGTCTCTGGGACAAACGGAGGAGGTCGAGGGAAGCCCTTGGCCCATGTGCAAGGAATTATGTGACACCTGGGATCCTCCACCTCTCTCCTCGACTCCTCTGCCCCTGAAGAGCTGCGGCCACGCGGAGAGAGCAACAACCATTTCGGAGCAAGAGCTGCAGCAGCTGGAGATAGGTAAGCGATGGGCTATGCAGGGAATGCGGCTTTTTGCCCGAGAGCCTGATGCAAATCCAGCTGCTTGCTTTTGGCCTCCTGACAGTTATTTCTGGGGTTTGAGCTCAGATGTCGTTTCGTCCGTAGTTCCTCTCTCGTTACACAGATTGCTCAGCCTTCCTTTTAAATTACCGATGAAACGGGCCGCGAGGGTGGTGCCAGGGTTTCCTTCTGCTCTCTGAGTGGGGCAAACTTAGGTGAGATGTTCTCAAAACCCAGCCGGTTTCAGACTTACATGCGCCATGTGAACACAGACTGCAGCTCCATCTTCTGAAATTGGAGGTTTTCAAACATAATTCTTTTGATAAAGGATAAGCCTGATGGATGGGAGGTGTCAAACAAAGCGGTATAGCTAAAGTCAGCCTGTAAAGGTTTTGTTCTGGGCATTGGAAAACCTACAGCCACTGGCCAACAAAATTTGATTAACAGACTTTGAAAAATCAGTGAATAGTACAGTTCCATTGCTCTGGTATGACTGAACCTTTCACTTTTGTCACGCCGTGTTTTCTAGTCTTTGTAAGCGAATGGAAAACTCCGAGCTAGAAAAAAAGCGTCTTGAAATACAGCCTGTCATGGAACTGAGGGACGACACTTTAGGGGTTACTGAGGGCTGATTTCTTCTCAAGTGCCTTTGAGCCTTCAGCAGCCCTGGCAGGTCTGGATGGGACCTGTGCAGGAGTTGAGTACATGAGCTTGATCTTTCCCTGGGTATGATGTGGAAGGACCTAGAGTGAGGACTGATAGGTGACATAATAGGCAAGAATTGGGAAGTTCTGGGTGCTAGTTCTGTGTCTGGCATTTTGCATGTTATTGCACAATTCTTCTGTCCTCTCTGGCTCGGTTTCCCTGTTTTCACAGTGGTGGCCACAGCCGCTGCTTAGCCACGGAGCTGGGTGTCATGGCTTTTGCAGACACTGATATCGACAGTCATTAGAGGATCACAGATTCGCAGAATCACAGAATATTAGGGATTGGAAGGGACCTCAAAAGATCATCTAGTCCAGCCCCTTCTGCCAGAGCAAGGTCACCTACATGATGCTGAGGAAGCTTTGGGTGTTAATTGCAATAACAGATTGGAGCAGGGAGACACAGAAGAAAGAGCTGGAAACATCTTCTCTTTCCTTCGCCTTGCAGAACTGTTTCTGAACAGCCTTTCGCAGCCTTACTCGCTGGAAGAGCAAGAGCAAATGCTTTCGTGTCTCAGCATCGACAGCCCGTTTGTGTCGGATGCCAGCGAGAAGGTGAGTCTAAACGGGGAAACGTGGAATTCCTCACATTTGTTGCTGCTTTTTGACACCTAGTTTGCTGGGAAGCAATCTCTCTTCTCCGACAGCGAGGTGTTGAGGATTGTTCTTTAGTGTGCTGCCCAGCGCAGATCCTGGCCGTCCGGCTGCTCTCCTCTGCTGTAGGCTCGCAGTAAGCGTCAAAGCGCATGGATATGGAAAATCTCCGCGGCCTTGCCCCTCTCTGTGCAGAAGCAAGAGCCTGAAGGTGAACGCAGGAGCTGGGGCCCAGAGAGCTGTGCAGCCCAGGATCTCTTCCTTCTGACACCGGCCACCAAAGGGCCGTTGAGGAAAAGGGCAGAAAAAGAAAGACCCTGCTCTTGGATATTCATTGCCAGCCTATGGATCCACAAACATCTTTTAACCCGTCCTCACTAATGACTTACACAGTCTAAGTCACTTAAATACTAATTTTAATTAGTTTTGGTTGCTCTGGTGTTGTTAAGGTAGGGAATACCGGCGAGGAACACTGAGGAAGCCGTGTTGAAGCAGGGAAGGAAGTAAGCCCCTAAGTCATTGTTTCTGAAGGAGCCCAAAGCTGCGTAGCCTGCCATCTACAGGAGTCAGTTCGGACGGCGATCGGCTTTATTTCCTATTTCTGTTCCTCTTCTCAGCTCTGTACTGCTTTTCTGAGGAGGGCTGAGCAGAGCTCTGTGCAGCAGCTCAGCTGCTGACGCAGCATGGCGTGCAGCGTGGGATGCGACTCTGTTGTGCTTTTTTTCCCTAATACCTAACCCTAACATTTCATTTGACTTTGGGCTGGTACTTACCGCTGTGCTGATGTTGTCAGATTGACCTTCTGTGACCCCGAGATAAAACAGACTTTTTCAAGCAATGTAGGGTCTGTCGTTGTTTATGTACGATTGACTTTTTCTTGGCACTTACCAACACTAGAATTTTATCCGATGCTTCATTCTCCTGTTGGTCCATACAAAAAAAACCTCTTTTCCCAGCCAACTCTTCTGCTGGTTATTGGTTTGACTACTGAGAATGCCTTAGTGTGTCTGCAAAGCATTGCATTGCTGCTCATCCCATTTTTCTAGATGGCAGGTGAATGTTGGAAAACTCAAGGCCCAGCCTTAGATCCCAACGGATTTCTGCTTTTTTCTTCCCCGAGGTTATCTCATGCAAGCTCCTTTTCTTTAGCAGCCTTTGACAAACCTGTGCTTGCTCCCGCAGAACTCCATGAAGGCTTCCCAGAGCTTGAGGGACACGATGAGCTCCGGGATTCATTCCTGGAACAGCCAGGCGGATGGACAGAGCTTCAGCTGGAACAACCTCCTGACCCGCAGCCGGCACACGGACACTCCCAGCTATTTCAACGGTGGGTCTGAATATTTTGAAGTCGGGATGAACGGGCAGGTATGATTTTTTCGCAGCATCTAGAGAGTCTGGGATATGGAGACAGCGCAGACCCTCCTCAAAGAGGTGGGGTTGTCACAAGGCTGAGTCTGGCCCAGACGGGTGAAGGCACTCGAGTTTAGTAAAAGCCAGAGAAGTTCAGCACAGACTCAGGTTCAGCTTTGCACGCCTCGCCTCATGCGAGAATATATGCTTTATAACCATAAATGTCTACCGAATAATTCCGAGGGCATGTTGTGCAAATCAGTGCATCCCTTCAGCTGCTTTCTTGCTAAATCCAGCTCTGCTCCATGAGTCATTGTTCTCTTCAGCAAGCCTCCGTGCTCAGCGGAAGACCTGCATAAACTCAATGCTTAATGAGGAAAAGGAGCTCTGATGCAGGAGCCTCACTGACGGGTTTTTCTGTGTTGGACTACGAAGCCGTTTACGCTGACAGCAGAAGTTAATGACTTCTCTTGCACGTTTCAGGAGTGAAAATCCAGATCCAGTTGCTAAGCGGAGAAAATTTGCACATCAGGGATTTCCACAGGACGAAGGTGGGAGACATTGCCACGGGGATAAGCAGCCAGGTGAGACACGAAGCTGGGAGTTAAGTGCCGAGAAGCAATTTCTTCCATAGTGCAGCCTCCTCATGCCTTAAAACCAGTGACCCAGAAGTCCATTCGTGGTTTCTAACGACACGTTTAGTGACATGACTTGTGGTGTCACACTCATAACAGCAGCGCTGGAGATGTTCTCTGAATCTTAAGCCATTGCTAGTTGTCAGAGGGACCACAGGGCTCTCCATCTTAAAAAGTACCCGTGGCGCAGCTTGAAAATCCTTCTCCTTGACTACAAAGACAAATCCTTTCCCCGCTCCCTATAGAATCACGGAATGGTTTGGGTTGGAAGGGACCTTAAAGAAGAATCTCCATATGACTTTTTCCCCAGGCGCGGGATAGTCAGCGAAGGGAAATGGGCCGCGATGCTTCTGACTTGTTAGGTTAGAGGAGATATTGGCAGCCTCTGCAGGACCTCCCTGTGGGCCTCTTTGGCAGTCCCTGAAAGAACCTCCCGAGTGTTTGTGGGACTGTGACTCATCTCAGTGTAAAACACGGCGATCGGCTCTAGACGGAGAGGTCGCAGAAGTCCCAGAATATCGGAGCGGTGTCGGTTCAACTTGGCCTCCTTCGTTCTCTTGGACATCACAAAGCAAAATATGAGCAGCCCGCAGAGGAATTTGCAGTGCCCAGACTCAGGCAGTTCAGGAACCACAAGCGATGGTCAAAAATTTGGGTGAGGATTTAGGCAGCGGGGTGAACGCTACCTAGTCCCCTTTCTGAGATCCTTTCTTACGAGAGAAGATTTGAGTGTTCCTGCCAAGCACAAGCCTCTCTCCGGGAGCTTTTCATGGGCTGGGAAGTTTTTGCTGGGTTCGACAGAGGGCTGGTATGTTCTGAAAGAGACTCCCTCAGATCTGTTTATTCTGCTTCACAGATCCCGGTCCCTGCTTTCAGCCTGGTCACTAAGGAAGGGAAGCCCGTGCGCTACGACATGGAGGTCCCGGACTCGGGTATCGAGCTGCAGTGCACCCTCGCCCCCGACTGCAGCGTCAGCTGGACGTGGCGAGTCAAGCACGGTCAGCTGGAGAACAGACCGTGAGGCCGTTCCTGTCCTGGAGGTTTTTTTACCTAGTTGAAAGAAGGAATCGCGAAAGCTTCCACCCACCCCTGCCGTGGAGCACCGAGGGCAGCTGCTGGTGTTTTGTGCTGAAGTAGGATAGCGGCGCGGCGGCTCGCTGCTCTCGAGCCTCACCTCTGGCGTCCGTTCTGATCCAGTTCCAAGGCACGTCCTGAGCTTAAGTGTTCCCCAGAACAGTGGGAATTACTCGTTTTGGGTGTGAGTGCTAGGTTGAGAGCGGTGGGTGGAAATTCCCGCTTTTCGGAGGAATGCGGTTGTGCTTTTCAGGAGGATAGGGGGGTTTGGGTGAAAACCCCCATTGCTCGGCCTCCGAGGGGAAGTCGGTGGTCGCCGGGTTTGCCCGCGGGAGGAGGTTGGGCATGTTGAGTGCCGCCGTGGTTGTTTGCGCCGAGGGGAGCTGGCTGACTTCCTTCTAGCTGGAGGAAAAACTTAACGTTTCTGCAGGCTTTGGGTAGCATCATCTCTACCTCAAGCCTTTCGCGTGGGGAAAATCGACAGCAGTAACTAGCTGGGTTCTTGGTTTCACCTCCCACCCTTCCCCGCAGACGCTTCCTTCTTGAATCAGAAAAGAACTTTGTTCCCAGAAAGAGCTTCGCTTGCAGCTCTCGTCTCCTCCCCGACTTAGGAGCTGGTGCTCTCGCTCTGCTGTCGCTGCTGTCGGGCAGGAGGAGGGTGCGGTGTTCCTCGGTGGGCAGGGTTGTGTTCCTTCCATCCCGTCTCCACCACCGACCCCGCACTTGACGGGATCTGTCCCGTCCGGGCAGCAACCCGGGACGGCGGCTCAGTCACCTCAGACAAGGTCTGCGGCGTTTTATGG